TACCCATGCATAATTTTATAGCATCTTGTAGGTCATTTGGAAAATACTGGTTTAAGTTTACTGATTTCAAATGTTGACACTTTATTTTATTATATCAAAGAAACACAAATCAGAATAGTCACTAAGTAATGGAAAATTGACAACTTCACAGAAGCAGATATGCCAAGTTTTCCAAAATCTTTCTTTTTGAAATTTTAATTTTTTATTGTCAACAAATGTGTGTTATGTGCCATTGAGTCAGCTCCGACTCCTGGCCACCAAAGATGAATGAGTGATACCCATCATGTCCTGTCCACAACACCCTTGTTCACTCATGTGTACTCATGCCTATGGCTTCTTTTATGGAGTCAGTGCATCTCATATTTTGTCTTCCCCTTACCTGTGGTCTTCTACCTTTTCCAGCATTGTTGTCTTTTCCAAAGAACCCTGTCTTCTCATGATGTGCTCCAAGCAGGACAGTTTTAGTTTTGTGATTTTTGCATCCAGCAATGTCTCAGGCTTAATTTGTTCTAGATTCCACTTGTTCATCCTTCTGGTGGTCCAGGGTATGCTTAGAGCTCTCCTTCAAACACCATGTTTCAAGCGAATCACTTTTTTTCCTCTCAGCCTTCTTCACTGTGTCCCACTTTCACATCAGTACATAGTAGTTGGAAATACGAGGGTGTAGATGACCTTAAATCTTGGTCTCTAATGACATATCCTTGCTCTTCGTGATCTTTCCTAATTCTTCATTTGCTGCCCTTCCTAGTCTCAGCCTTCTTTTCATTTCTTGGCTGCAGTCTCCATTGGAATTGATGACTGAACCAAGGTAAGCAAAATCTTTAACAATATCAATTTCTTCATTATCTAGGTTAAAGGTGTATATTTCTTCTATAGTCACGATTTTTGTCTTTTTAATATTCAAATGCAGTTCTGCTTTGGCATTTTCTTCTTTGACTTTCATCAAAGTTTCAAGTCATTGCTACTTTCCACCAGTAAGATGGTGTCATCTGCATATCTTAGGTTACTGATATCTTAAGTCATTGATATTTCTTTCATCAATTTTCACTCCTTCCTCTGAATCTAGCCCAGTTCTTTGTATGATATGTTTTATGTATAAATTAAACAAATAGGGAGATGAAATGCTCCCTGGTCTGACTCCTTTGCCTATAGGAAACCATTCTGTTTCCATATTCTGTGACAGCAACTTCCTGTCCATAATACAGGTTACACATTAGGACAATCAAGTGCTGAGGCACGCCCATTGCTTTCAGAGGAGCCCAGAACTTTTCATGATGGTCACAAAGACTTTACTGTAGTCTACAAAACATAAGACTAACCTTTTTCTGAAATTCTTTGCGGCACTCCAGTATCCAGTGAATGCTCACAATTAGATCTTGAGTGCTACTTTTATTCCTGAATCTACCTTGTACATCTAACATGTCAGTAAACATGTCATTTCAGACACATCTTTGTCTTTGAAATGAAAGAGATTTATTTTTGAGATAATGTCTACTTGCCAGATAATCAAGTCTAAGTAACCAGAGTGTGCCCATCAATCGTTTTTTGTGGTTTGTTTGTTATTTTCCTGGCAAAAATTGGGTTCCATGAAAAAATAAATGTGCTTAATTCTGCTTGCAACTCATTCACAGAAGTGCTTTAGTCCTTAAAGCAGCTATTGTTAATTGTGTTCAAATTTCTATATTTGTTCTCACATATATATTTATTACTTCTATAGTATTTTTATTTTGAAAATTAAGCTGAAGTTTATTTAAAGTGGAAATATATTTTACTATTTTTCAATGTAGGGAATCAGTAGATATTATCTAAGGACAGAGATTGAATATTAAAAAATTACAAATAATAAATTATGAAATATTTTAAAACATCCATACAAAACAAAATAGTAAAATAAAATGAAAATAAAATGACAGAACAAGCACCAAACATATCTATCATATCAGAATTTCAACAAGTGTAAATCAACTATACTCATTTATTGAAAGTAAAAGGTGCTCAGACTGAAGCACAAATCAAAACCCAACTAAATATTATATATAAAAGAGACATCTAAAAATGATTCACAAAAGTTAAAAAAAGAAAAGCTTTTCAAAGATATGCAAAGATCAGGAATAGGGATCTTGATAGCAGACAAGTTCAATTCAGGCTAAAAGCATTAAGCATCACAAAGATTAGTACTTTTAAATGATAAAGCACAGTGAATAAATCCACTATGAATCTTAATCATTAAGAACAGCCATTCACCAAATGCATGAAGATCCATAGGCAAAAAGAACAGGAAATAAAAAGATAAATAGATAGAAACTTGGATATAGTAAACTTTTTTTCCTAATTTGTTTTTATTCTTGACACTATTACAGATATCTTCCATCCCCCCCCCCAAACTTTTTTTTTTTAATTTCTTTATTGATTTCAGAGAGGAAGGGAGATGGAGAGAGATAGAAACATCAATGATGAGAGAGAATCATTGATTGGCTGCCTCCTGCACACCCCACACTGGGGATGGAGCCTGCAACCCAGGCATTTGCCCTTGGCCAGAATCGAACCTGGGACCCTTCAGTCCGCAGGCCGATGCTCTATCCACTGAGCCAAGCCAGCTAGGGCCGCCGCCCCTAAACTTTTTTTGAAATTTAGAATATTTGTCTTTTCCCTTCTGTTTTATTGAGAAATAATTGCCATACATCACTGTATTAAGTTTAAGGCATACAGCAAGATGGTTTGGTTTACATATATTGTGAAATGATTACCATAATAGGTTCAGCTAACATCCATCTTCTCGTATACATACAATAAACAAAAAAGGAAGAAAAGAAAAAGGGAAAATATTTTCTCCTTATGATGAGAACTCATATGATTTACTCATAGTTGCCATGTTGTATTATATGCCTAGTACTTACTTATATTATTACTGTGAGTTTGTATATTTTGACCACCTTCCTCCCCCTACTTTTGTTACAGAAGACCAAAGAAATACCAAGCACGCTTCCTAGAGAAAGGGAGGGACCCTGTTTATTAACACTATGGCCTCTGCATTTAGATAACAAGTTCTGCAAGGCCAGTTTCCTCCTCACCTTCTGCCTCTTTTTCTATGAGTTTTGTTTTGTTTATAAAATTCCACATATAAGTGAGATCATATAGTATTTGTCTTTCTCTGTCTGACTTATTTCACTTAGCATAATGCCTTCAAGGTCTATCCATGTTGTCACAAATGATAGGATTTCCTTTTATTTTTTATGGTTGAATAATATGCTATTATATGTATATAAACCACAACTTTTTTATTCATTCATCCATCAGGAGACACTTAGGTTGTTTCCTTGTCTGGGCAATTGTAAATTATGCTGCTATGAACATGAAGGAGCAAATATCTTTTTGAGTTAGTGCTTTTGTTTCTTTTGGATACATGCCCAGAAGTGGAATTGCTGGGTCATAAGGTAATTCTATATTTAGTTTTTTGAGGAACCTCCATACTGTTTTGCATAGTGGCTGCACCAATTTACAATCCCACCAGCAGTGCACAAGGTTTCTTTTTCTCCACATTTTGTTTCTTATCTTTTATTTATTTATTTGTTTATTTTATATTTTATTGATTTTTTACAGAGAGGAAGGGAGAGGGATAGAGAGTTAGAAACATCGATCAGCTGCCTCCAGCACACTCCCCACTGGAGATGCGCCTGCAACCAAGGTACATGCCCTTGACTGGAATCAAACCTGGGACCCTTGAGTCCGCAGGCCAACGTTCTATCCACTGAGCCAAACCAGTAGGTTGTTTCTTCTTATTTTTTGATGATGACCATTTAACAGGTCTGAGGTGATATCGCATTGTGGTTTTAATTTGCAATATTCCTAATGACTAGTTGAGCATCTTGTCATGTGCCTGTTAGCTTTTAGTATATATTCTTTGAAGAAATGTCTATTTAGGTCTTTTGCCCTTTTTTTTTTTTTTTCATTTGGTTATATGGGCTTTTGCTGTTGAGTTATTTGAGTTCTTTATACATTTTGGATGTTAACCCCTTATGAGGAATCTGGTTTGTAAATTTTTTCCCCATTCTGTAGGTTGTATTTTCACTTTGTTGATAGTTTCTTTCACTATGTAGAGCTTTTTTGATGTCCCACTTTTTAATTTTGTTGCTTGTGCTTTAAGTGTCATATTTTTAAAAGTTATTACCAAGACTCACGTCAGGGAGCTTTATTCTATGTTTTTGTCTAGAAGTTTCATAGTTTTAGGTCCTACATTTAGGTCTTTAATCTATTTTGAGTGAATATTTGTGAGTAGTATAAGCTATGGATTTAGCTTCATTCTTTTAAGTATGAATATTCAAGTATCCCAGCACTATTTATTGAAAATTATTTTTTTCCATTGAGTATTCTTGTCAAATATTAGTTGACTAAGTAGTAGTGAACTTTATTTCCCTTTTCTTAATCCTTGAAGTTTAAGTAGATATAAAAATAATAATGTAGGTCTGATTGATTGATATTACATTATACACTCTGAAAATGGAGAATAAACCTTTTTTTTTGAGTGCCTGTAGAATTTTCACAAAACTGGCCACATGTTTGGCTGTACGGTAAGTCTTAATAAATTTCTGTAGTAGACATATTTAACATTTTACTTTAACCTGTCAGTGATTGAATTCCCTTATAAGGTAAACAATGGTTACCTCTGGAGTATGGATTGAATGAGAATAAATGGGTTTTCCTTTATATATTTCTATATTCAGAGTCCTGTAATTAGTACCCTATAAGCATAATTAGATATATAGTTATTCTGATAAACTATATCTCTAACTTCATTTATTTTGGGGTCTTTATGGTCAGGTTGGGATAATGAAATTATTGTAATTTTCATTAGCTTTATATCCCTAATAAAAACAATTAGAGTATCAATAATGACTGTAAATTTTGACAACATTGATAACCACTAAATAGTGTTTCATTTTTAAAGTTTGGTTGGAAAAACTAGGGAATTGAACTTTAATTGGTCATCTTTATAATTACAGAAAGAACTGGTTGTCTTCTTGGGCTGTGTTGCAGGGTTCATCTTTACTCTTTACCAAAACTCAAGGAAGTAGCACAAGTTGGGTAAGTATTTCTTTTCTTTGGAGGCTTTATGCATTCAAAATATGTCAATAGTATTGTACCTGAAGTTCATGAAGTATTCCATAGTCCTTCTAGCTATAGCTAATGTGAAAAAAAAGTAAATGAAAAAGATTAAATACTGCCATTTGCAATAACATGGATACACCTTGAAAATATCATGGTAGGTAAAATAAGTCTGATGGAAAGAGTCAAGAACCATATGATTTCATTCAAACAAATGAACAAATTAGACAAATAAACAAAAACTCATGACCCAGACAGCAGTATGGTGGTTACTAGAGGGAAAAAGAGGTGAGGGGAGATGAAAGAGGATAAAGGGAGCCAAATGTATGGTGACAGAAGAAGACTTGACTTTGGGGGGTGAAGACACTGCAGTGTACAGATGATGTCTTAAAATCAACAAATTATGTTTTATCCATTGAACTGAAAGGTGGGCTTACTATTTAGGCATGATAGAACAAATACTAGTACATTTCTTGATTCATGTTCAGGATGTTAAAGCTCTTCTCTGTGACTTGGCTGTTTCAAGTATTTAATCAGAAAATAAGCAGTAACGTGCCAAGCTCCACCTTGAACTGACCCCTAGATACTAGTCAGTGATTCAGGTGTCCATGTCTGTATATAATGTCAGCCAGCTTTTAGAAGAGAAAGAAATGTCACCATTACTTGTAGCATTTTGAAACTTTTTGTATATTTGAGTGTTTACTATTATTACTCCTCAGTTATTTGTAGTACAAATTCTAAAAAGTATAATTTTTGACATAATACCTACTACTTTTTGAATGCTTAATATGCATTAGTTACAATTAATTGCAATCGCAGAAACATAGTTTAAAATTCACCGAGCTAGCCAGTATTGAAATTGTAAAATTCTTTTTTTTTTTTTTTTAAATATATTTTATTGATTTTTTTACAGAGAGGAAGGGAGAGGGATAGAGAGTCAGAAACATCGATGAGAGAGAAACATCGATCAGCCGCCTCCTGCACACCCCCAACTGGGGATGTGCCCGCAACCCAGGTACATGCCCCCGACCGGAATCGAACCTGGGACCCCTCAGTCCGCAGGCCGATGCTCTATCCGCTGAGCCAAACCGGTTTTGGCGAAATTGTAAAATTCTTAATGAATTTTTACCTGTGGAGATTCACTATTTGAATTTTTGCCTTTACATGAAATTTTATTAATATAATATTAGTAATCATTTCAGATTGGTATAATTAAAGTACAATCACACTGTGTTTTATAGTCTCAGTAAAAGCTAAGCAGATGTGGAATATGGTAAAATGCATGGTAATGTAGTGATTTTTAGTTTTTACTATTTTATTTTATGGCTCAAAATATATTTTATTGATTTTTTACAGAGAGGAAGGGAGAGAGAAAGGGATAGAGAGTTAGAAACATCGATGAGAGAGAAATATCGATTCAGCCACCCCCTACACACTCCCTACTGGGGTTGTGCCAGCAACCAAGGTACATGGATGGCCTTGACTAGAAACGAACCTGGGACCCTTCAGTCCACAGGCCGACGCTCTATTCACTGAGCCAAACCAGTTAGGGCTATTTTTTAAAAAGATATATTTTATTGATTTTTTACAGAGAGGAAGGGAGAAGGATAGAGAGTTAGAAACATCGATGAGAGAGAAACATCGATCAGCTGCCTCCTCCACACCTCCTAATGGGGCTGTGCCTGCAACCAAGGTACATGCCCTTGACCGGAATCAAATCTGGGACTCTTCAGTCTGCAGGCCCTCCATCCACTGAGCCAAACCAGCCAGGGCAGGACTATTTTATTTTTAAATAATCTTTATTGTTGAGATTATTACAGATGTCCTTCCCACCCCCCATAGCTCTCCTCCACCCTGTTTCCACCCCACCCTAGGCCCTCACCGCCCTATTATCTTTGTTCATAGGTAATGCATACATGCATATAAGATCTTTGTCTAATCTCTTCCCGCACCACCCCCCCCACACCCTCTACCGTCTGAGAATCGTGAGTCTGTTTCATTTCCATGCCCCTGATTCTATTTCATTCACCAGTTTATTCTGTTCATCAGTGCTGGGAGCCAGTCCATCCTTGCTGTTTCAAGGGACCTGGCATATATGGCATACTGTTCTTAATATGTTTGCTCACCTTCTTGGCGCTGTGTTTTAACCAAGGTCACCTCCCCAAGAAAGGTTGTTTCCCCAGGTAGGGATTTTCCTCTGAAGTTAGGGAGGGAATAAAACCTCTTAAGTGCCAGGCGGGTAATTAATCACTTTAACTACGAACAATCCTGCTTAAGCTACATAATCTTTAATCCCTCGAATGGAGATAAGAAACCCCCTAACCTTTGGAATACAGATTA